TGTTCACTGTGATTATCGATTCTTCTCTAGCAGTCAGTAAGACCGAACTATTCAATGAGCGGCAACTGGCTTTGAAATGGATTCAAAATCAGGAAAGCGTCCTGTTTTTGATGGAAAAATACAGTCGTTTTCTGGTCTTATGAATATTGTTTTGCTAACGAAAACTGTAAATATATATTAATATCAATGCGTACTAAGGAGTTAGCACATCACACGCTTTTTTGACAAGCTGTTGCTGGTGTCCCACTGTTGAATAAGCCAGCACACAATTCTCATGCGGTTTGTATCAGTCGATTCAGCACATGAAAAGCACCCCAGAAACACAGATTCCTCATCAAGCTGCTTTAATATCAGCCCGGATTTGAGATATTAATATCTGGAGAACATACGCACACATACTCACAAACACACACATACACACAAACAAGCACACATGCGCACAAACACATACATGCATACGCATACAAACAAAAATGCACAGACACACGCACAAACACACACACACACACACACACAAACACCAACTTGATTCAGATTTTTATTCTCCTCAGAAGTCATCACCAATTCTGACCCCCGTCAAGACTGAACGCTAACAGTTACTGTTGTTCCTGGTCCCTACTAACTATTTGACGCCGACGAACTACCTTTAGTTGTGATCTAGCTTGGACTAACTGCAACGAAGCAGCCTAACTAACGGACTATCATTTGAGCAACTGCGACCCTTCCCGCATTTAGTACTTGGTTTGTACCTCTTGCCCTTGGCTTTTTCTTCTTTTTGTACTGAAGCCCGTACGGATAAAACTATTTCTTCACAGTGTCGTCTTAATTCACAGACCAAAGGAGTACAGGACCATACCGAGCATCACCACTTCGTCTCGACCTTTGCCACTCTTGATACGATGATAAGGTACTTTACTGACTGAGAAACGACAGGCATGACCTTGATATAATGGTTTTAAAAATCTACGCATAAATACAGAATTCCGACTCTGTCCTTCCAGGCGTCAAATTGAGGAGAGAGTGGCAGCGAACTAAGCAGTGTCTAGAGATGGCGTTTTGGTGAAAATCCAAGCAACTCCAGGTATGTCGAGAAGTCACTGTACCACATTTTGTCCGGCTGAGCTCGAATGTCGTCTGATCACTGATTAGCAATGCAGTAGAGGACAAGCAGCTATGCATGCTGTAGACGTGGCACTAAGGTTAGCATGGGACGAAGTAACATTCATATAAAACGCTGAAAAACAGAATTCATTTTAGTATGTGATTGTTTGATGTGGCGGCTTGCTGTCATTCCAATTATCTTTCTTTTTACCGTAGGATGGATGGAAAATTACCAACATCCTGACAGCTTTAGGGGTATGATCAGCATCCAAGCTTGCATAATCCCGCGAAATTCGCTCTGCAGTCCTCACTGCGTGTGAAGGACAGTACTAGCCAGGAGAATTCATAATTGCCGGTTAAGTTTGGTGCCTTAACGTGGATCGGGACGGGGTAGCGATGTTCGAGATGCACCGTTGAATCTGCAAAATAGCCAGAACTTTGCCGAAGTGCTTCTGCCGGGAGAGTAATGAGTCACTAACCGATCTGAAAAAAATGAGTGATTGGAGCAGCAGAACGCTAACCAACAAGCGGTGTTGCATTGGTTAAAGCAGCTGTCAAGGGAAGGAAGGAAATGCTATGGTTTTTTGATTTCACCAGTAATGAATCAGTGATGAACCGTTTGAAATATAAAATGAATTGCATCTCTCATCCCAACTAATCCGATTCACTGAAATGAATTCTTTGCAGATATCCGCCCGAAGACGCCGAAGATTACCGACAGCAATGCGACGGTGGCAAAAGGGAAATTGAAAAGTGCTCGTAAAGTGAACAGCTGGAAGCGAATGCTGGCCAGCCTGTACAACCGCTTTAGGGCGAAACAAGCTGTGAAACGGAAGCAACAAGGAAGAGCGTTACCGTTAATTTGGTGGCAACCGGTACGGGAAGGCCTCATGCGACAGCAAAGGGAGGCCTGGCCTGATCAAGCCCAGCGGAAGAATGGGACGAGGCTCTTGGCTAACGGGGAAGGACGTAAACAAAAGCTGGGAAAAAAGATTCAGCTGACCAAACAAAGTACTACGGAAGCTGTACTTATACTGCGTCTGAGAGCGAATACAACGCGTACCACGAAGGCAACAACAACGCCGAAAAAACCGCCTACTACTACAACCGTAAAAACAACCACAACAACTACAAAACGAGCTTACAAAGAAAAACACTGGGAAATACCAGAAGCACCGGAAACAAAACCTGTAAGTGCGTCCCAGTTTTTCAAAGGTTTGCCGGGATTTTCCAAGATTTTCAGCTTACACCAATATCTATCTAAGTTGACTGAACCTGACTTTGACCAAAGATCTTTCCTCTGTCTGAAGCTAGTTTCAGAGCGAAGAGAAGGCAAAACCGGCACCAGCCGATGCTCCTCCACCAAGTAGGCGTTTTATTTTTGCTTTTTTATTTGTCAAAATATGCATTTGATAGGACGGGTATAAAGAGGACTTGGCAAAGTTAAGCCGGACATGTAAGAAAGCATTCCAATAACATTACCACATAGAATAACTACCATGAATGTTTAGTACCAGGTACTCTGACAACACAGCACAATGGGAAGCAACACTGATACCGGGCAACTAATCGAAGCTTCGACTGTGCCGTAGAACAGCAAATCCCCCTATGATTCGTTTTGATGGTAAATTGGTACTAGCATATAGCAAGGCGCCACTAGCTTGCTTGTAAGAATCCCTCAAAAGAAGGAGCTGTCGAAGCTTAGCCAGCGGTGGTTGTTGCTGAGCTCCTTGTTGTGTGCCCCGCTCTCTCATAGACAGGAAATGAAGAGAGAGTTTTGAGCACTACTGGCGAAAATTCAGTACCAGTTCATAACAACATGCGTTTCGAAAATATCAATACTAATACCAGGCAGTAACAATTGTCCGGGTGCCACAGTATTCGCCGTATCAACTGTTTGTTCAGGAATTGAAATATATTTTAGTCAAGTATTAGCAAAGGTCCACCTTCCTTTGCTGCTTATCGAAACTAGTCCTCTAGACAAGCAGGTTTTTGGACATGCATTTTGCAAATTGTATTTTCCATTTTCTCTCGCACTGATGAGGTCCAGTTGCGGTGCTGGATAGGACTCTATACGAATTAATGGGCCGAAATACCTCTATTCTCATTTGATTATTTTTAATATACTTTTTTATATAATATCCATTATTATTAATCTCTTCATGAACTGACCAGGAGGCACCTTTGATACGTATTGGTCAGGAGCAAGTTACCCTGCATGCTCAGAGCGAATTCTACTTGCTATCGGTCGCTGAGCCACACACGCTAGCCTTACTGGTTTATTCGTGGAATTCGTAGCCTGTGCTAGATTTGCTTTAGTGCGGACGATGTTACTGCTGATGGCTTATCTGACACTGTTCATCGTAATCGTCGTTTCCTCACTAACAGTCTATATGACCGAAAAGAAGCTATTCGACGAGCGGCAGTTAGCTATGAAATGGGTTGAAAATCAGAAAGCCCTTGCCGTCTTTAGTGAAAAAAACATCATGTGAATATTATGTGAATATTGTTGTCTTTGTGAATATTTTTGTGCTAACGAAAAATGTAAATAAAGAGCGATGCGCATCAAAGAATTGGCACGATTATGCAACATTTGCGATAAGCTGTCACTGCTTCTAGTTGCTGAATGAGCCTATGTATGCAGGATTTTTCACAACAATCGATTCAGCCCATGCAAAGCGCCAAAATTTCGGCATCACAGCTGCCTCAATCCTGAATTTGAAAATGCGATTATAAAACAAGAAACACTGAAGAGACTGATTCAAAATAAGTTTTAGCTGTTCTTGCAGTTATAATCCCAACCAAGACTTTGACACGAGGTTGTGAGTCGGGACCTAATTTTCAGGGATTTTATTGCAAATATTTGAAAAAGTTACTCCGCTGACCTCTGTAAGATTAA